GTTTCAACAATGAGGTCTCTTTTTTCAATTGAATCATAAATGTCACCGACAATTAAAGCGGCTACCTCAGAAGAAGTTGGTAAGTTATACGTCCTTCCATCGTGTTCTCTTTTTCCGATTAATCTTAACTTCAAATTAGCACCGGGGTTTTCATGAAGACTGTCTCTTACCATCCTATAAGACTTGACCAACGCATTGTTTGAATCTAACATAACTTTCAAAAATTCTATAATCTGGAGATCATATGATCTTGAAGTTGATGTAGAAGCGCTTGTTGGTCCACTGAAAATATTATAATAAATTATTTAATGTTAATAAAAAAAATTAAATTAACTGAAATGATTTTTTAGAAGAAGATTATAAAAATATACCCAATACTTGTCGATCTATTTGAAATCTCGTTCTCCGTATCATATATGTATAACTGACAGAATTTTGGTCTTGATCCACTTGTAGGTAAAAGACTTCTCATACTATGATAATTTTGACCGCTAACTCTGAATACATATGGTGTGTTGCCTGTGTTGATGGATGAATCAACTTTGCCTCCCATCGATGTAAATGAAACATTGAATTGTAACGTCGAATGTTCTTCATGAAGTGTTTGCTTTTAGAATCGATGGAACGATAAAGATTTTTGTAAGATGATTGTGCTTCTTTTAAGGGTGGTAGCTCAACTTTTCCGTAGCCACAACATAAGGAATAAGACATATTTCCTTTTTTTTGCCCTCTAAGCGATTCATCTACCCATAATTTTGCATGACAAATCTGACATATAACAATCTCGTCTCCATGATCTAAGTAATCTATTGAATGAAAAAAAAAATTAAAAAAAAAATTATTAAAAATAGATTATTAAATAAATTTAAATAACATTAAAAGTATTAGAATTATGATCACCTTTTGATATACCGTGAAATTTATCTTCGACAATATGATCATCATTACGTTCTTCATCTAATGTCAAGTCAAACACAGGTATAGATGATATATCTAGAGTATTCCTTTTTAATTGATGCTTTCCTCTTGGTAACTTAATTGATGAAGAATTCTGGACAATTGTGGAACGACTACCAGATGTCGTGGGATTAACAAACATTGAATTATGTTTGTTGATAGATATTGGTGTTTGAAGGTTATTATTGAATATGTAATTGCCTGATAAAATAAAAATACAAATTACAACGTTAGCAATTGTTATGATTTATATAAATGTAAAGCATATATTTTTAAATTTATGTATTTACAAATGTGTACCGTTTGAAATGTTAGAAAATGGAGTTCTAACATTTATATTGGGTGAAGAAGAATTATGAATTGTTGTGGAACGATTGGTGGATGTCGAGCCAATGCCAAACACAGAGTTATGTTTATTAATATATAGTGGTGTTTGAACTTCATTGTTAAAAATATAGTTGCCTGATAATATTAAAATACAAATTAAAACGTTAGAAATTGATATTAGTTATATAAATCGAAACATATATTTTTGAATTTGTGTATATAGAAATCCGTACCATTTGAAGTTTGTTGATGTACATATGATTTGGCAGAGTTTATATTTTCTTTATCTAAGCTAACGTGTGTATAGTTATTTGTAGATATTAATCTATCACGATGATTGTAGACATCTATTATATAATTAGAAAAATGGTTAGTAATAATAAAAAAATATTAATTATTATAAACAGTAAATAAATTATAAAATAAACGAATATAAATACCGTTATTTGACATGTAAGAAGCGTGTGTAATATACGAATTTTGATGGCTTGATGTGTTTGGTAGTATTTTGGATTTTCTATTATCCAAATATAATTTTCTAATTTTTCTCCTCTCTTTAGCGTTTGTAGATTCTGTAGTATTATTTGAACCTGTAAAATAGTATAAAACAACTTAAAGACATTTTTTATATTAAGTTTAAATATAAATAAAAACATATTATAATTATAAATGCAAAATAAAGCAAGAAGATTACCGTATTGGCTAAAATTAATAGCATATCTGACAGGTGTATGGTGAGATGATGATATAGTAAAACATTTTTTGGATTTTCTGTTATCCAAATATAATTTTCTCTTTTTTCTTCTCTCTCTAGCGTCCGTTGCATTCATGTTCTTGTTTGATATAGAATAAAAATAAAAAAGTACAGTGAAAAACAAAATTAATAATTTGATAGATGATGTTACAAGGATTGGTAGGTTATATAATTTGCATAAACTTCATTTGACGAATTGAATACTAACCAAATAGAAAATAAATGATATTTCTAAATCATAAAATTATATAATAAAATTTACTTATTTTTTGTTGAGCATAATACATAAAATGACAATTTAAATAGTTTATGCCAATTTAAATTATAATTTAATAAATACCACATATCAATATAATTTTTTAGTTGATTATTAAAATTATAGTTGTTTTAATAATAAATTGAGATACATAGCAATACAAATTATTTAAATATTATTGATATAAAAAATTATAAAAAAAATATTATTTGAAGGATTAACATAAGTAATAACCCCCATTTCTCCCACGTACAAGAAAATCAATTAGTAATAACCCCCCTTTGTCACTTTTGTTGTAATAGAAAAGAAGACCTAGAAAAATCGGCACTTGAAATTGATATCTTCGCAATCAAGATTAACGTCTCCAACACGTTCATTTTAGAAAGATATCAAACTTTGTCCATTGCTATCGATGAAGGCAGATAGGAATATATAATCATTGAATCAAATTGAACGGGGTAGTTATACCGATGTTACAATTGAAGATACGAAGTGAATAGGGTTTGAAGATGTGAAAACTGAAGGTAAGATATAAAATTTTCTTAATGATATTTGTTTTAACATAACATAGATTGGTTGGAAGATATTATACCTGATTATGATTTGCAGAAAATTGATTTTTCTGAAGAAGTTATCGAAAAATGAAATGGTATGAGGAGTAATTCGAAATACTTCAAGGGTGGAGACATAATCAGGTAACTTTCAATTTTGCTGAAATTATGGTTTTCATACTTTGTACGTAATAGTTTGAAATTTTGAATTTTGAATTTGCTATATATTAGGGTTAAATTTGTGCATGTGATTAATATTAGCAAATAATTTATTAATTGAATTTTATATACCTTCCGAGATTAGATCGGGAGTTTTATAATGATTAGCTAGATTAGCTAGATATCAGGGTTAAATATGTGTAAAATGAAGCGATCAATTTCATATTAGTTCCTAGTGAGTAGTTTGAAATTACAGCCCTAAAGCAATTATAAAAAAAAAAAACATTGTTTTTCACTCTAAAAATTTGACTGATTTTAAACAACCGGTTAAATCTTCAACCGAGGGTATTTTGAAGACAATCAGATATAAAGGGTAAAATTGTCCAATCTCAGAGATAAAGGGTAAATAATGTTGTAAAGCTTAATCTTATATAACATTCGACTTATTTAACTTTTATATCCACAATACATTCAAATTACTTTTATATCTAATTTAAATCGTAATGTTGAAAAGAAGTAATGGCAGATTTGTAAAACTTTTAAGATTTTGCTGGAAAGTAAAACATATCACATTTGCAGAAACGCACACACATTTACACTTGCAGAAACAATATTTTATAGTAAAATTCAGGTTTACATATAGAAAGTATATTGTATAATCACCAAAACAGTATTTTATACTAAAAGTCACACACACACACACACATTCACACTTGCAGAAACGCATACAACCAGATACATATAAGATTAACATGTATATATTTTTTGGGCTGTTGACATTTTTGCTCCTAGTTCCCTTAATGAGTGTTGGTCTCCGGTTGTTTTTGTTTTGGTTGGTCTGATTTGGTCTAATTTACTCGAGTTTTTTTAATGATAGTTATAATTACATTAATACCCCATCGTCTTAATTAAGGAATTGCAGTATAGGAATATTAACACAAACACACAAATTATAACAATGTGCTTTGAAAATACATTGCTATAACTGGTAAAAATCGTTTTTTTTTTCTTCCAAAAATTAGAAAAAAAAACTTGTTTTTCTTATTAAGCCATTATTGTAAAGTACGTTAACCAAAACACATAAATTATAGTCCCTGATCTATATAGTATATGTTGATATCATTTAGTAAAAATAACCAAATATATCCAAAAGTTAAGCAAATAGAATTAATTTTTCATTTTTAATATTAAAACGATAAATATATTAGTATGCAGTAAGACATTTTCTACCAAGAATGAAAAAGCATAAATTATTTAACCTTTATATCCACAATACATTCAAATTACTTTTATATCTAATTTAAATCGTAATGTTGAAAAGAAGTAAGGGCAGAATTGTAAATTTTTTAAGATTTTGCTGGAAAATAAAACATATCACATTTGCAGTAACGTACACACACATTCACACTTGTAGAAACAGTATTTTATACTAAAAGTCAGATTTACATATAAAAAGTATGTTGTATAATCACCAAAACAGTATTTTATACTAAAAGTCTCTCACACACACACACACTCACATTCACACTTGCAAAAATGCATACAACCCTTAATGAGTGTTGGTCTCTGGTTGTTTTTGTTTTGGTTGGTCTGATTTGGTCTAATTTACTCGAGTTTTTTTAATGATAATTATAATTACATTAATACCCCTCCTCTTAATTAAGGAATTGTAGTATAGGAATATTAACACAAACACACAAATTATAACAATGTGCTTTGAAAATACATTGCTATAACTGGTAAAAATCAATTTTTTCCCCAAAAATTAGAAAAAAAACTTGTTTTTCTTATTAAGGCATTATAGTAAAGTACGTTAACCAAAACACACAAATTGTAGCAATGATTGTTGAAAGTACATTAAAACAAACACATAAATTATAGTCTCTGAACTATATAGTATATGTTGATATCATTTTGTAAAAATAACCAAATATATGCAAAAGTTAAGCAAATAGAATTAATTTTTCATTTTTAATATTAAAATGATAAATATATTAGTATGCAGTAAGACATTTTCTACCAAGAATGGAAAAGCATAAATAAAACCACAAATATATGAAAAAATTAATTCATAACATGCTATAACAATATAGCATAACAAACCATTTAAAAAGAAAATAATGGAAAAGTTTTAACCTTAAAAAACAGAATGATTGAAACATCAAACCAAGAGAGTTAAAAAAAGAAGCATGGCAAAAAAAAAACCCTTAAAATTGTTCATGAAAATTCAAAATGGACATTGTCTTCAAAATCAACACCAAATCAAATTCAGCCACTTTTTTCCAACTTTATCTCCAACAACTTTTTCCTTGGACCATCTAGGGACACTTTTGGAGTTTTTGAAGATGATAAGTTTTCATTAATGTCCAAATCAAAGACTTCTTCAAGATTTCGTTTCAAAACCGGTGTTGTGTTCAAAAAATTCATTGGGCTTGTTACTGAGTTCTTGTCAACAGTGGAAGGAGTTATGTTGTCATCTGTCCCAGAAATTGCATCCTAAAGAAATTAATTTTACAACATTGTTATTTACACCCAACAATTATTTTACAACATATTTATGTAAGCTAACATGTATGTAACCTTTAAATGCCTGTTATCTTGAGATTCGAATTCGCCGGAACAAACGTCCAAAGAGTCTGTTCGGTCTGCATAAGACATAAAATAACAAAAAGATTGATTTAGAAATACTATAAGTATGTATAGTTAACAACAAAAAACAATAATTAGTAATTTAATTCAGTAAACTTTTTTCAAGTTGTTCAATTAAATCAACATTATCACTGATTCTAGAAATACCATATTGATTGGTTTTTTTCAACACATTGAAATCCGTAATAGAAATCTTGAATGTCAATTTCAAACCTTTCAATGCATTAATCTCCCCCGGATAGAAATCAATATTGTCCCCGATCTTCATTGAATAATAATGTAAATATAAGTTTTGGTTAAACTGAACATATATACAATATGAAACGATCATATAATAATTTTCAAACGACCTCTGTTGCTTTTTTAAACAACTCTTTGGCTGATGTCTTCAATAAATACCTTCCTTCTTTTTCAAACATTGTCAATGTAATAGTCTCGGTATTATTTTGCACACGTATAAGGATCATAAATCTAAAAAAAAAGGTACAAAATATAAAAAATATTATTAATATATATGGATTAAGAAACGTTTTTGTATGAATATAGTTTATAGGTAAGAACCTCGGTACAACGAAAGTTGTTTTTTTTTTTGTGCAATTTTGGTTACGACATTCATAAGAAGTTGGTTTTGCATTTGATTGATGAAAATCAATACCGTCATCTGCCCCATTATCCAGAAAGGCCCTGTAACTGCAGTTTGTACACGCGGGATAGCACCATTTCTCATTCTGCAAGATTCCCTTTATAGAGCCAACTATAACGAAGTGGGTTTTCTGCATAAATGATGATTAATTATAACATTTATTATTTTTAAAACATACAAAAAAATATATATATAAATATACAAGTTACAAAAAGTTCAAATAAATACCGAAAGGGGTTCAAAAATCTCAGCAATAGTCTTCAGCTTAGTTTTAACTATGAAATCATCTAATTCAGAAAGTTGTTTAGATTCAATGACTGAAATCGTATTCGAAAACGAATCAGGATGATCATCCCCGTCTAAACTGTAAGTTACAAAAAGAAATAACTTTTAGTTTTCTTGTAATGAACTTTTGTATAATTAAAACGTACATGGAAATGTGTTACCTTTTTTTGAAAAGATTAATGTCATCGATACCAGAGTTAATGAATAGCTTTGAAGATGTAAAGTAGGTGTTAACACTCGGACGATCTATAACAAAGATAATAATATTGAGTTTAATAATAAAAAATGATAAAGTGTGCTAATAATAAAAAAAATATACCTCTCCAAACAGTAATCTTTGCAAACTGAATTATAACAACGACACGTTGATTTGGTGGATTGTTATCTATGTAATCTTGCATCTTGTACGCATAATCACCCCACAAATTTACATGGACTTGCAAACCACTGAAAATTCAATTTTTTTTTTAAAAGTAATGTTTTAACTTAATATATAATACAAATGTAAAGATATCAACAACAAACCTTTCATCTTGGATGTGAATGGTTAGTCTGTGTCTCGACCTATCAGGATTATCCTTCATCATCTCAGTAATAGCAACGACCAATCCAATAACATCTGTAAAAGTCAAAAAAATAAAGATGTGAAGAGTTGTTTGAAATTTAAAGATATAATATATAATATATAGCAGATAAACATAACTAAGAGTACTTAAATTTATTGTTTATGATTAAAATAACAAATATTAACTAACCAACGGATAAATCTTCAGGATGTTGCAACGACAGTACAGTTTGATAGTCAACAAATGAAAATCCAAATATAGATCCAGAAAATTCTGCACATTCTTTGACAACAATTTGTTGGACAAATGTTAGTTTCTGATCTTGAGGAGTTATTTTGAAACTGTCGGGCTTTTGTGATGCAAAACTTGGACTTGTGATATAAAAAGCTGACCCATCCTTAAATATATTTTTGAATCGATAAAGAAATTTTTTCCAAACAGTAGCTTGAATCTTGGTCCCCTATAAAAAAAAGTAATATATGATGAACTATATAAGTAATTGTAATTAGATGTGTCTTTGTAAAAAATCATTAATATGTAGAGTGTAAGATACCTGTTCATCAAGTAAAATTAATTCAATGGACCAAATGTCATCCTTGTTATTGAATGACATATGTTTCCACAAGTTGATGACACAAACTTTTAGAGTCAAATCGTCCCTTAGCACATCCACATCAGCAATCAAAGTGATATTGGGAGTAGCCATTTAACTGAAAAAACACAAAATTATATAAATTAGATGAAAAATATATGTAAATTCAAAGACCTGACTAAATAATTATGTAGAAGTTGGAAACAATTTCCTTTTGTAGAGAAATCAGCCCATCATATAATAAACAGATTGCAAACCAAGGGCAAAATGGTCCGATATTATGTAGAAGCTGCATATTGAGCCCCCCCCCCTTTTTTTTGGGGGGGGGGGGGGTGGGGGGGACTTGGGACATATTTCTGGTTGTAACTTTGCATTGCAGATCAATCCAAATTAGTTAACGGAAATAAATTGTTTTTCTGCACTTATATGTTCTGTAGACAATAAATACAAGTAAGATATTGTAAAATTGAAAAGCTTATTCTTAATTAAGAAAAGTTAAAAGATATAATTTCCAAATAAGATATAAAGGGTAAAATTGTCCAATCTCAGATATAAAGGGTAAATAATGTTGTAAAGCTTATTCTGTGACAATCGTCAATCTTGAGTCAAGTCAAGTCATCAAGTCAAGACCGGTCAACTCGATTAAACCTTGTGTATTAGGGTTTGTGTTATGTTCATACTGTATAACTTGCTATATTAATGGGAAAACATCACTTGAGAAAAGTCTTGTGTTAAAAATTTCCTAAACCCTAGTTCTGATCAATGAACTAGACCAATAAAACAATGTTGCATACTCATCGGGAGTGTGTAAGATCCTTAAACAAGGCTTAATAGGGTTCACGAACCATGCATTTCGATGCCGGACACTCACAACTATCCCACATGGAACCTCTCTCAATCGTTTCCACACTATCTCTCTCGATGTCAAATCTCTCCCAAATCACTCTAAGTATGTGAAAACTCTCGCAAATACCTCTTTGTATGAGAAATCTCTCCAAGAATGTCAAATCTCTCCCAAATCTCTCCAAGTATACGAAATCTCTCTTAAATATCTCTTTGTATTAGAAATCTCTCCAAGAATGTCAAATCTCTCCCAAACCCCTCTAAGTATGTGAAAACTCTCGCAAATACCTCTTTGTATGAGAAATCTCTCCAAGAATATCAAATCTCTCCCAAATCTCTCCAAGTATGCGAAATCTCTCTCAAATACCTCTCTGTATTAGAAATCTCTCCAAGAATGTCAAATCTCTCCCAAATCCCTCTAAGTATGTGAAAACTCTCGCAAATATCTCTTTGTATGAGAAATCTCTCAAAGAATGTCAAATCTCTCCCAAATCTCTCCAAGTGTGAGAAACCTCTCCCGAATCTCTCTCAAATAATTCCCGTAACTTTTTAGAATCATTCGGGTCATTCCGACGCTTAACCGTGTCAAAAACAGCTTAAAACGGGGTAAAAACGAGAAAAATAGACATTAGGAACCGAAACCAAGAGAGAAGCTTCTTAGGACCCGAAGGTCCTCTTAGGGACTGAGAGCAAGAGGAGCCGAACCGAACCCTCCTGAGCCGAACCGAACCTTCCTGAGCCGAACCCGAAGGTACTGTTCACCACTAACCGAAACCGAACCCTGCTCAAGAGGAACCGAACCGAAGGTACTGTTCACTACAGTCCGTTCGGTTCTGACATTCTCGCCTCTTATTCCTGAACCGAACCCCACCCTCGCTACTGACCCTTCGGACCGAACCCTCGCCCATCGCTTCTCGCGTCTGACTCGCCCCTTTCGTTTCCCTCTGTTCGTTTCCGGCTACAATCCTCAGCGTGGACCGAGTCTCGGCCTAGGGACCGAACCTCGGCCTAGGACCGAGAGGTCTCGCTGGGAACTCATTTTCTCCTGGTTTTCGCGTAGTTTTGCGTTTAAGGCCCGTTTTTAATTATTTTAACGTGGGAATTTCACCCAAAATCATATTTTAACATAATAAACCCTAAATATTCACAATTTAATCATATTTTCATAAAAATCTTTATTTAAATAATGAAAGCAAGTGGGTAAAGTACAAAGAGGTGGAGTGCTGACTTTGCTTTACCTTATAACACAAGCAACCACTCCCACACCCACTCTATGACCAGCCACACCTCCCCACCTTACCTAGGTCACATCAATGTCTTTTCCACTTAATTATCCCTCTTTCCCACGTTTTTGAGTGCTGAATATTCATCCTCTCTCCTCACTTCTCTCATTTGCTCTCATTTCACAAGAAGATCAAACTCTTTCCTCTCTCACTTTCTCTCTCTAGAAATTCGAGATTCAAGGGTTGATCTTTGGATTTTCCTCCACATTTGGTAAGAATGATCCATTCTCTTTATGATTATCTCAATTATTTCCACTCAAATCATGGATATCTTAGACAAACTCTCTCATAATTGTGTTAGATCTTCGAATCTTCAAGTGATTCTTCAAGTGTTCTTGGGTTGAACACTTATCTTCTTCAACAATTACCTACTGAAATCACTTAAGGTGAGTTCATACCCCTACATTTTCATGTTTTCTCAAGTTTTCAGGGGGGGAATACAAGTTAAAACACTAAGAACATAATTAAATTTTTCTAACAGCCTTCATCAGAAAAGTTCAACTCCATTCACGGACTGTTTTGGGCATCTTAAACATTTTTGTTTTCAAAACTGTACAAGGTGCAAATAGTTCAAGTTTTTAGCTTTAAAATGACTACTTGAACATCTCCATACGATTTTTCTACAATTTATGGTGATTTTTACAAAACTGCCTATCATTTCAAACAACAATCCGGACCAGTCTGTGATTATGGACATTTTCACCCAAGTTGGAGGTCATTAAAAATCGTGATAAAAATTATGAGTAAACTAGACACATTTTGTGAACTCTCAGAATTTACGGATCTAGTTTTCGAATTCGTATGATTTTTCTATGATTTTTAGAAAACTGGGCAGAATTGCTAAAGTTAGCCAACAGCATGTAAATATCATAACACTTTGTAATATGTTGAGCAAAGTGTATAATCATAAGTTCTAATATTTGAATGTGTTTCCTTGTTAGTTTATCATTGTGAACTGAAACTAAGTTATTCATATTAAATATTATTCATTCATTTAGAACACGTATTATGTAACTATAAAAAGTATAGTTGGATAAATTCACAACACTAATACATTTCCATAAAAAGAATTCATACATATTATATACATTTTAGATAAACTATAATAGGTATAGTTTATGATACATCACTCAACACACTCGTACAAAAAGGGTACATTCATTCAAGAAATATTTATATCCACACACATTTCACGTAAACTTGTTAACCTATGTTGTGAGACTCTCTCTCCCCGTACGTCCGAGTGCGGGATATAATTCCTGGTAGTTATAATCAAAATCTCCTTGAGGGAGAACGTGATGTTTGAATATAGATCTATATTGGGTTTGACACCCTACACCTTGCTGCTAGCTACAGTGGGACCTGCAGGTCTACGGGTGACAAATGTCATTTCATGTTCGCGACGCCTGAGAAACGTTGTGGCAGGTTCACATAGTCACAGTATGATTATAGCGACTCACCTAGGGAGATAACAATTCATAAAGTTTACGGGGTTTCATAAAAACGAAGTAGGTTTTAGATTGATAAAGAAATTTACTTTCCATATCATTTTAAACTCACGACGTTTCTACTAAGAAATGATGATTTCTTATACATTTTAGTCTTTGGTTATAAGGCTACATTTTTCGGATTTCAAGGAAAATATCGGATTTTTCTGACACAAACGCGACATTTTCATGTGATAGACTTCTACTAAGTTTATTAATAAAAGCTTATGAACTCACCAACCTTTGTGTTGACTCTTTTCAAACAACTCGTATTCTCAGGAAAACACTAAACAGGTAATCAAGTGCTTTTGAGGATGGGACGTTAAGACATCAAACTTTTCATAATTTGTCAACATATTGTAATTGATTTTGAAACATGTAATTCATACAAGTGATGTAACTTTTTCAATTATATATATGTTGGTTGTGTTTGCTTAAATTACTATTGAAATTGTGGTTATGATACTATACATGAAGTCCTCCACCCCCGGACGTTTCCGCCATCCTTGGTTTGGGGGTGTGACATATTCTTATATAACATTCGACTTATTTAACCTTTATATCCACAACACATTCGAATTACTTTTATATCTAATTTAAATCATAATGTTGAAAAGAATTTAGGGGTTGAAAATAACCTTTTTAATATTTATGCTTCGTCAATGCTACATTAGACAAGTAGTAAGGGCAAATTTGTAAAAAATTTAAGATTTTGCTGGAAAGTAAAACATATTAATGCTCTTTTTGTATCCATTACTTAGATTTACATATTGAAAGTATATTGTTATAATCACCAAAACAGTATTTTATACTAAAAGTCACACACACACATTCACACTTGCAGAAATGCATATGGCCAGATACATATAAGATTAACATGTATATTTTTTTTGTTTCCATTATAATATAACATATACAGAAAAGACCAGAAGGAGAAGAATATAGATATAACGAAAATTATAATAAGAATACGAATAAATGATAAGAATTTAGGGGGTGCTTTACCAGAACTGCAGTGTTTTACGGTTCAGCTACAAAGCAAATGACAAAAGGCAAATGATTTAAAAGAATCTAGGGGTTCTGTATTTATAGGTGAAATAAAACAACGTAAGTTAATATTGTAATTTGTAACTGCATATTGTAATTTATTTAATTGATTTAATTACTATAATCATCATGCAGATATATTTGGAAAAAGATACAGTTTTTGAAAAACAATTCCTGATTTTATGCGATATGATGATGATGTTGTATGATATATTCAAAATGAAATTTAATGCAGAAACAGAAATAGCCGATTTATATGGAAACATAATTATTTTTTAAAAACAGTTGCCAAATTTATCGAATGTGATTATGTATTAGTTTGAATTTTTCGTTTTATATGGAAGCATATATATGGAAACTGAATTCTTTTTAAAAAACCATTGACTATTGACTATCGGTATTTTCTTTAATTTTCAGGAAATGTTTGGGCGGGAAAATATTTATGAGGAAAATGGAGA